CTGTGGCCTCCCCTTCCGCTTCTCAGCCGCTCTCTGGCTCCTAGTGGCTAAAACATCCAGTGATGTTCAGATGGGGCTTAAAAGCCTGTACAGTCCCTGCGCTCTGCCCGCCTTCCTGGCCCACGGGAATCCAAGGACCCCGTCACAGTGTCACACAGAAACCAGGGCTTCCCTAGACGCAAACCCTGGCCAAAGCCAGAAGCATCCTCTGGGGGGAGAGGGGGGCAGCCTGGGGACAGATCCCAGGCCCAACCACAAAGTGGTGGGGAACAAGTCCTGGGAGAACCCAAACTCAGCCTGTTGGCTGGAAGTCTCCCCAAGATTCCAGGAGACCTCCTGGGAGGTGGCCAGGCCTGACCCTGACCCTGTTCTTCCTTCCTAGGGCAGAGTCTGAGGTGCCCCCCAGACCAGCCTCCCCCAAGGTCAGTAGGAGTCCCTCAGAGGCGGCCACTCCAACGGAGGACATGGCTCGGAAGAGTAAGTTGGCTTGGGGAGGGAGAGGGGAAAGGAGGTGGGCAGGGAGAGGGGCCGTGTTTTCAGACAGCTGGCGAGGCCAGGAGTCCAGGTGGCCAAGAGCTCAGGTTCGCTGCCTGGCACTCTGGGTTCAGATTCCAGCTCTATGACCCTGGGCAGGTGACTTCACCAGGTCTGCCCTTCCTCCCCTGCGTCATGGAACAAGACCCACACCTGCCTTGTAGGGCTGTTTGTTAAACGCTGCTGCCTGACTCTACCCAACACACAGCTCATCCTCCGTGAAGCTTAGCCATCTCGGGGTGGGCGGCTGAGGGGTCCAGTCCGTCAAGAAGTCCAGAGAGCGGAGCAAAGACGAGGGAACGTGGGGTGGAGGCTTCCAAGGGCAACGAAGGGAGGGGAGGCAGTGGTAGTGAGAAGAATTTTGGAGTTCCTCTGCATCCCTGTGGTGCCCACACCTGTTGACTTGGCCTAACGCCAAAGCCAGGGTTCCGATGGGAAGTCAATGCCAGGGACCAGGACACTTGGGAGGGCCCAACCAGCCCATGAGGCCCTGGAGTTTTCTACCTGGGGGTACAGTGTAGAGCCAGGAGCAGCCGTCAGGGCCTCTGGACCAGTAGGAGTTGACAAGTCACAGAGGGACTGTCCTGCAGGATGGGGCGTCTAGGGATACGTGTGCACTGGGGCATCGCACTTCAGGGGCCCGAAGGTTCTCGTGCCAGCCCTGGGAAGTCCAGGCTTGCCTCCCATCTCACTGATGAGGAAACTGAGGACCCAGGGGGCATGATTTGCCCCAAACCCATAGTGGGAGTGAGTGGAGGTGAGGCTAGGACCAGAGTCTGGGCCTCCTGGCCTCTCAGCCATCTCATGAGGTTGGAACTGTGCAGTGGGATCTCTGAAAACTGGGCTGGGGGACTTCTGGTAGGCTCCCAAGAGGCGAGCAAGACCCCAGAGTCAGGGGGACAGCCAGCACTTCTTTTTTCAACAAATACGTATGGATATCCACTCTGTGCCCCCAACACTGGGCTGGGTGACCCCACACAGGACGGCCTCTTTCTGTTTACCTGCTCCTCAGGGAGTCAAGCAAAATAAAAGCGGACATGCTCCCTTCGGAGGGCAGCGAGTCCTATGAAGAATGTACAACAGGAAACTATGACAGTACCTAGAGTGGGACGGGGGAAGGGGAACTCTAGAGAGGGTGAGACCCGTGGAGGGAGGGCTAAGTGAGGAGGAGCCAACCGTGGAATAGAGTTCCTGGCAGAAGGAATGGCAGATACATAGGTCCTGAGGTGGATGCCTAACCATCTCCCCACCCCATTCTTCCTCCACAGCCAAGCGCCCAGCGCCGGCCCGGCCCACCATGCCGCCCCCCCAGGTCTCCAGCACACGCTCCTCCCCTCCAGCCCCACTCGCGCCCCCTGGCTCTAGCAGCCCTGTGACCCCCCAGGCTCTGCCCCGCCGCCTGGTGGGCGGCAACCTCCGGGCCCCCACAGTGCCACCCCCCTTGCCCCCCAATCCTCCCCAGCCCGCCCGGCGCCAGAGCCGGCGTTCACCAGCCTCCCCCAGCCCAGCCTCCCCTGGGCCAGCCTCCCCCAGCCCTGGTGCAAATGTGCAGGTGGACCTGGGGGCGGGCCCAGAGGATGGAGCGGCCCCTGAGGCTGTAGGCAGGGCCTCTACTCCCCCCACTATACCCCCTCAACCCCGGCCCAGGAGCCTCACCTCGGAGACCGACTGAGCCTGCCGCCCCTCAGCAACAGCCCCTCAGCATTTCCTCCCTCCCACCTGTCCCCCCAGGACACGGCCCTCACCCTTTCCCGGGCTGGGGGCCTTCAGCCTTTGCGTACAAGTGCCTAGGTGCCCGCTGGGTCGGCCCCCATGGCAAGGAGGACTCAGGACAGTCCTCCGCTTCCAGACCCTTTCCTCTGCAGCTGCCCTGGGCTTGGGGGGGGGGGCTCACCCGACTCCCAGCTCTCTGGCAGGGTCCCCCAGGGAGCTGCCAGAAGGAAGGAGGGGCTTGCCTGCTCCTACAGGACTGTTATTTTTCTCTTGCCAACGTATTGTTTTTAAGGCTGGCAAATAAATTATTTTGGACAAAACTGGAGCAGCTGCCCCCATGATCGTCGGTTTTTTCCTTTCTGCCCTCAAAATAAAGAAGCCACTTGCGTGAAAGGGAAGATATTCCCTCTTCTTTACTCCCTTCCATCTTTCCTGTCTGAAATAAAAAGGGCCAGCGTTTTCAGCGCTTACTCTGTGCTCTCCCCCGTGCTTTTCCGTGCGTGGTTTTTCCATAGAACCCTCTCCCGCGGAAGTAAATCCCATCACCTTTGACTGGTTGAGTAGAGACTGAGGCTCAGAAAGCGACCTGCCAGGCACACAGCAAGTGAGGCACGGACGTGGAATCAGGACCCGGGTCTCCCTGATTCCAGAGCCTGGGTCCGTCCCTCACAGCCCAAGCAATTCACTTCTTGGTGCTCCGGGAAACAGGACAGCAATCTCCACCCCAGAAGTGTCTTGAGGATTACATGAGACATTCCCGTAAAGGCTCGAGCACCAACCTTGCACACACAAATGCCCTGTAAACGTTGGCCGCTGTGGATGTCAGTGCCCCCAACTTCCGCTGTTCCCAGAGTGGGGACAGGTAAGGCTCCCTCAAGTTGCAGAGCTGGATCTGTCTGCAGACCACGGTGGCTGCTCGGTGCGGGAACCTGGGCCAGGCCCCCAGCTCAGCCCTATGCCCAAGGAGGTCCTGGGAACAGACATGCAGGAGAGCTGACCGTCAGAATCAAGTATAATGGCACTGGAGCCCACTGACTAACAAGCCAGGTAGGGGCCGACCGGCTAACCCAGACTGTGTGTGGAGGGCACAGGAAGGCTTCATGGAAGAGGTGGTTCAAAGAGTCTTTTAGGGGCGCCTGGGGGGCTCAGCCGTTAAGCGTCTGCCTTCAGCTCAGGTCGTGATCTCAGGGTTCTGGGATGGAGTCCCGCATCATCAGGCTCCCTGCTCGGCGGGAAGCCTGCTTCTCCCTCTCCTACTCTCCCTCCTTGGGTTCCCTCTCTTGCTCTCTTTCTGTCAAATAAGTAAAATATTTAAGGAAAAGGAAAAAAAAAAAAAGTCTTTTAGGAGTTGTCCAGGTGAAAAAGTCAGGGAAGAAGGAAGAACATTCCAAGCTAAGGAAAGCACGTGAGACAGAAGCAAAAGGCCAGGGCATGGGGGAACAGGAATTATTTGAGCCTCAGAGAGGGGGGACAGGGTGGCTTTTCACAGGTCTTTGGAGCTCTGGTTGCTCCTGGAGCCCAGGTTTTCAGCGCCTTCTCAGAGGTTGGCTGACAACTTGGAATTGTGACACAAGCCTCCCCAGATGGGGACCAAGGCAGCCAAGTCGCCCCAATCGCTGTCCTGGGCAACTGGGTCTTCTGTCCCCCTCCATCCCCTCCCATCCCCAGGGTGCTGAGTGACAGGCTGCCTCTAGCAGCTTGGTGACCCAGTGCCTCTCGACCCTGGCCTGGGGTGTTTTAAAAAAAGCCCCAAATATCTCGGCCCCACCCAAAACAAATCAGAATCTCTGGGGTGCAGCTACGCTTTGGTATTTTTTAAAAAATATTTTGTTTATTTATTTGTCAGAGAGAGAGAGAGAGAGAGCACACAAGCAGGGGGAACAGCAGGCAAAGGGAGAAGCAGGCTCCCTGCTCAGCAGGGACCCCCATGCAGGACTCAATTCCAGAACTCTGGAATCATGACCTGAGCTGAAGGCCGACACTTAACCAATTGAACCACCGAGGCGTCCCCACGCTTTGGTATTTTTAAAACGCATTTGTCAAAGTCATCCAGCCGTGCATTTAAGATCTGCGCATCCTACTTGTATGTAAATTATATCTGAAAATACAAGTTCCGCAGGGGGACTCTACCAGCCAGCGCAGAGAACGACTGGTCTAGGCCAGGGACCCTGGCGTTTGAGAAGACATTACGTGCCTCTTTCCTATCATCATACCAACACGCTTCTCTGGACTTTGCACAGAACTGAAGCGTCCAGGGTTCAGAGGACAATGAGATTTGATCCAAAGGCAACAGCTCCCTTAACATCTCTGCTTCCCCCCTAGCAACCAGCTCTCCGAAGCTTCTGATTGGCTGGGGAACGCAAGGGCGGCTAATCGCTCCAGATTTTCTATTCGTAACTCTTTATTGGCCAAGAGGAACGGCAGTCCGTCCTGTAATTGGCCAGTCGGGGTCGAAACTCGGCGGCGACTGGCCTAGCCGAGTTTGGGGACGAGGCGAGGGCTAGGTCTTCATTGGTCCCCTACCTTCTGCGGCGGCCGAGATTTATCCTTTATTCCAGGTTTCGTTAGGTCGAGGCCGCCCTCCTCTCCGAGGTGCTTGCCCCCATTGGCCCGCGGGCCAGGCCGTGACTCCGCCCCCTGGCCCTTCCGGCGCGCCGATTGGCCGCTGCGGGGCACGGGGTGGGCTGCGGGCCGGCGCGCCGTGCCCGCCGAGGGAGAACGGCGCGGAACGGGCGTGCGGGCGGCCAGCCGGCTGCATGGCGCGCTGCGAGCGGCTACGCGGCGCGGCCCTGCGCGACGTGCTGGGCCGGACGCAGGGGGTCCTGTTCGACTGCGACGGGGTGCTGTGGAACGGCGAGCGCGCCGTGCCGGGCGCCCCGGAGCTGCTCGAGCGGCTGGCGCGGGCCGGCAAGGCGACGCTGTTCGTGAGCAACAACAGCCGGCGCGCGCGGCCCGAGCTGGCCCTCCGCTTCGCGCGCCTCGGCTTCGGGGGGCTGCGCGCCGAGCAGGTGTTCAGCTCCGCGCTGTGCGCCGCGCGCTTGCTGCGCCAGCGCCTGCTCGGGCCGCCGGGCACGCCGGGCGCCGTGTTCGTGCTGGGCGGCGAGGGGCTCCGCGCCGAGCTGCGCGCCGCGGGGCTGCGCCTGGCGGGGGACCCCCGCGAGGACCCGGCCGCGGCCCCGCGCGTGCGCGCCGTGCTTGTGGGCTACGACGAGCACTTCACCTTCGCCAAGCTGAGTGAGGCGTGTGCTCACCTGCGTGACCCCGACTGCCTCCTCGTGGCCACCGACCGCGACCCGTGGCACCCGCTCAGCGATGGCAGCCGAACCCCCGGTGAGCGCGGGGCTGGCGGGGAAACCGAGGTGGGGTGGCGACCTGCGCTTTCCCTTCCACGCCTAGGGGAGAGGGGCGAGAAGGAGGTGTCTACAGGTGACAGGTGGGGACCTGGAGAGACGTGAAGGTCGGTCCCACCCTGCAAGAGCCCGGGCGAGCTTTGTCATGGCCACATCTGTTAATTCTTGAAACTGCCACCACTGGAGGGGCAGCAGAAGGGCCCTATGTGGCAGCTGAGAAAACTGAGGCCTGTTGTGGTTCAGGGGGTTGCAGGCGGATACCCAGCCCTTGCCTTCCTGAACCCGTCTCAGGGACCCCTGTCATTTTGTCCCCCTCACCAATCAGGGGTTGAGGCCGGAGGGTTGGAAACAGCCTGAAAGGACTGTGTCCCCCGCCCCGTTGAGCTGTTGGAACACCACTGGCAGCCGCTGATTGTAGGTGGGTGTGTGATGAGCATGGGGAGGTGGATGGAGTTTGACCTGAGTTCCAGTTCCAGCTCCAGGACTCAGTAATCTGAAGTTACATAACCTCGGAGCATCGCTGTCCTGGGTGTAAAATGGGAAGGCTCACCATGCCAGTTTCCTCCCGGGGGAGAGTGATCAGGGTGACTGCCAGGTACATAGTAGGTGTGGGTTGTACCCAGACCCCTCTCCTATTATTACAGAGTTTCGTGAAGTACCTTGCAGTTTGTTCTTAGTTCCAAATTACTCCGGAAGTGTCCCATTTCTCGGTTAAAGAAACTGAAGCCAAGAGAGGGGAATTGAGCTGCCCAAAAACAGGAGGACCTGTTTGGCTCTTGTGGCCGCCGCACCCCCATCCGAGGCACTCTTTACTGCTGTCATCTGGGTATTCAGGCCTTCAGAGGAGGCAAGAGCAGGTGGAGGCTCCCACATTTTGGAGGGTTTGAGTTAGTCAAGAACGGATGGTAGCAGCAGCTAACTGCCTGGGGTAAGTGTGTGTGGACAAGTCAGTGCCCCAGCCTGTAGGCTGAGGGTGGGGACAATCTCCATCACGCCCTCCTTGCTGGCCCCTGATTTCGACTGTCACTGATACCAAATCCTGGGGGAGCTGGTCTGGTATTGATAGAGGAATAGACCTGGTATTGTGATGGGGTGGCAAGGAGGGCCTAGAGTCAGGCGGATCTGGGAAGGGTTCCTGGAGGAGGTATCCTGCAGGGCAGGGCAGTAGGGGATGAAATGTGGAGCCGGGCGTGGGCCATGGCAAAACCGATTCCAGGCCGAGAATCTATAATTCTAGGCTAGTTCTGTCCTCGATTTGTTGTAGACCTACTTGCTGCATATTCCGGTCTCTCCAGAAATCCAAGCTGAGGGCTCTGGTCAGGGCTTTCTGCTGTCGCAGCTGCTGCCTGTCCTGGGCCCTGCTGTGAAAAGCGAGTTTCACCCTGAAGGCTTCAAAGTTCGGGTTAAGACTGTGGGTTAAGGGGCGCCTGGGTGGCTCGGTGGTTGAATCCTCTGCCTTCAGCTCGGGTCGTGGTCTCAGGGTCCTGGGATCGAGCCCCGCGTCGGGCTCTCTGCTCGGCAGGGAGCCTGCTTCCCCTCCTCTCTCTGCCTGCCTCTCTGCCTACTTGTGATCTCTGTCTGTCAAATGGGTAAGTGGAATCTTTAAAAAAAAAAAAAAAAAAAAAAAAAGACTGTGGGTTAAGAGGCTCTCCACTCAGGAAAGGTGGTTGGAGGAGCTGGGGACCGGCCAGGCCCTGCCCATATGCCTCCGCCTCTTTCATCTCGGTCCCCACCTGCTGTGTCGCACAGGCCCTGTTGATCTTTCCCACGACCTAGAGGGGGTGGTAGAAGCTTAGCTATAAACGCGGATGTCCTGTTTGTACATAGCTGAGTGATGTGGCTTTGAAACAGTGGTATAAAAATATTAATAAAGGCCCCGATATGCATAAAATCTGAAAGAATGCAAGTCTCTCACCCTGATGCCTCCATCCCCTTCCCCTGTGGGTCTCCTAAATTGTGTGTTTACCCTCTTGCCGCATGGCAGCCACTTGAACTGGCAAATAGAAGTGCCTGCTGTCTTAGAAAGATGTCACCACCAAAACGTGTCGGCCTTGGATTACAGGATGTTGTTGTTGTTGTCTAAAGATTATATTTTAGGGGCGCCTGGGTGGCTCAGTGGGTTAAGTCTCTGCCTTCGGCTCGGGTCATGATCTCAGGGTTCTGGGATCGAGCCCTGCATTAGGCTCTCTGCTCAGCGGGGAGCCTGCTTCCCCCGCCTCCTCTGTCTGCCTCTCTGCCTACTTGTGATCTCTCTCTCTCTCTCTGTCAAATAAATAAAGAAAATCTTTAAAAAAAAAAAAAGATTTTATTTTAGAGAGAGCATAAGAGCAGGGAATGGCGCAGAGGGGGAGGGGCAGAAGCAGGGGGAAAGGGAGACCAGACTCTCGGTTGAGCACAGAGCTGGACATGGGGCTTGATCTCACAACCCTGAGATCATGACCTGAGCTGAAACCAAGAGTCAGACGCTTAAGTGAGCCGCGCAGGCGCCCCACATTACAGCATGTTCAGTGAAGTAGCATAACGGTGGTCTGAGGACAGAGCTATGTTCTTAGATGCTCCTGCTAGGACGCTCACTCCCCGAGGGTTGACACCGTGTCCCTCACACTGCTCTATGCCCAGTGCCTAGCAAAGTGCCTGGCGTGTAGTTGGGCCTCAGTAAATATTAGCCGAGCAGATAAAGTGGGACATGGGGGGCGCCCAGGGTGATCAGCTCCATGGTGGTGGGAGAGGGCGTTGCTGACGCAACTGAGACCATTCTGGAGGTGAGAAAAACACTTCGGGGTGACTCACTTGAGCCCTACCCATCCTGAAAGGAATTTCTAACCAACAGGGCAAATGGCTTTTCTTCCCTACCCACTTATCGAGAAAACAAACAAGCAAGCTCTAGGTCAGATGTCAGGCAGAACCTCCCAGCAGAATTGCCCTAGGTCAGCTCGTGACCTAAGTCAGATCGTGACCTGATCTCATGACACTGGGGAATTTCCCCCTCCTCGTGTGGGGGCTGGGCAGGCCGAGGATTCTTGCTATTTGTGCCCGCTCTTCTGTAGCTTTGTAACTTTGACTTAATGCCACGGAATGTCCTTCCCTGTGAAGGGAGACAAGACCCAGAGCATTCGGGAGTCTGCCCCATGTTGTACTGATGAACGTTTGCTAACTGGGGTGGGGGGGAGGGGACTTGATCTATACCATTTCCCAATCCCTGTGGTGATAGCCAGGTTCAAGTCGGCAACATTAAGTCACTGAATGTGGAGTTGGGAAGATCTGTGCACAGCGTTATATAGTATTTCCATCATTATAGATGTAAAGAATCTCCAGAGCATAGATAATGGCAAAATACTTAGGAAGTAATGAGCTTTGAGACTTTATTATCTTTATTTTAAACATAATTAGACCATCAGTTTATATAAGTTGACTTTTCATAGTGGCTTTCACAACGAGCTCACGAAATCCCTGAAAATGAAACATTCGGCGCTCCCAAGCCAGGACAAGCTGGCCCAGTACATGACTGGGTCAGACACACCTGAGCACGTACCCTGTCTCTCCCATTATGAGGCTGTGCGACCCTGGATAAGTTACTTAATGGCACTGAGCGGTCAGCTTTCCCATCTGTAAAATGGGCTTCTGGGAGCAGCCAGCACAGCCCCTGGCGCGTTAGAATGTGCTCAGTAAATTGTGATCATCATCATCATTTGTTCAGGGACATTAATGTGAAGGCTGAAACTTGCGGCACAAGGACGGGCCTGTGGGATGGACACAGTGGACTTATTGTGCAGGGGGCCGCACGGTCCTGGGCTGTGAGTCAGGACTGTCCTTTTCTAAACAGTCTTCCTATTGTTAAACACTTGGGCGCATTCACAGTTTTGCTTATTCTAGCTACTGGGGCCACGGACATTCTCAAGCATGTCGCTTTTTGTCTCCAGCTTGAATTCTCTCCGTGTGATCACTTTCCCAGCCACCGAGGCTGACTGGGGCCGGGGCATGAGCATTCCTGTGCCGTGCCATGTTCTAAAAGGGCTGTGCCCATCTCTGCAGCCAGGAGCCCCCATTCTCACAGCAGCAACTACAGCTCCTGTTTCCCAAGCACTTGCCCCTTCAATTCCCACAGCACCTCTTTGAACGTCCGCCTGACTTGGATCCCCCTGTTCCAAGCAAGGACTGACTAAGCTAAGCCCAGTTACACACCGTATGGCTCATTCAGCCCCTGCAGGGCCATATTAGAGATGGGGAAACTGAGGCACGGAGAGGCACAATGGCTGGCCTAAGAAGGGTGGAGATGATGAGGTCTGAACTCAGGCAATTCGTGCAGGGTCAGTACCTGTACTTAGCGCCATGCTAAGCCTTGGAAGACTTTTGACTCATTTTGGTGCCTCCTCTAACCCCCCATGCCAAGCCGCCTCCCTGGAAGTCCAGCGTCAGAGCCTGGCTGCCCCTCTTCCCCCCCACCCCCGCTGCCACTGGGCACTGACCACGTCTCCATCTCCCTGCAGGCACCGGGAGCCTGGCTGCTGCAGTGGAGACGGCCTCGGGCCGCCAGGCCCTGGTGGTGGGCAAGCCCAGCCCTTACATGTTCGAGTGTATCACCGAGCACTTCAGCGTGGACCCCGCCCGCACGCTTATGGTGGGAGACCGCCTCGAGACCGACATCCTCTTCGGCCACCGCTGTGGCATGACCACCCTGCTCACGCTCACAGGCGTCTCCCGCCTGGAGGAGGCCCAGGCCTACCTGGCGTCCGGCCAGCACGATCTCGTGCCCCATTACTATGTGGAGAGCATCGCGGACTTGATGGAGGGGTTGGAGGACTGAGCCCATGTGACCGGCACTGCAGCCCCATCCCTCCCCGACCCTGATCCTGTAGATGGAGGCAAGAGGCCAAGAGCTGCAGGCTCCTGGGCCCCGTTTTCTGCAGCCTGGTGGGGTTGGGACCCAGGGAAGGTGTTAGGGCCCTCGCATCCCCTCCCCGTGGTGGCTGGGCACTCTGCTGTTCCGGAAGCTGTCTGCCCCATCATCCACCAGTTCGCACTGGCCTGACCCAACCAGGTGGCCTTATTTCCTCCCCTGTGACCTCCCCTCTTGGAAATCTGGGCCTTGATGCTCACTGAAGATTTCCCCCAACCCTGAGCACTTAACCCCCTACGCCCTCCCAGACTGGGGTGAGGGGGGCGGGGTTTGCCTCTAGAGCTGTACCTGCCCCTCCAGCGGCCTTGGGTTCCTGTCGACCAATCAGAGGCCTAGGTAACCAACCTGCGCCCTGAATGGACCAATCAGAAGGCTAAGTGAGAGTGACTCATCGATGCGTCTGTCCTGAAGGGTTTCATTGGGAACCCAAGTGACAATGACCCTTTGATGTTCTGGAGCCCGAGCGGACCAGTCAGAAGGCTAAGTGACAATGCGCCTTTCATGTCCCTGGTCCTGAGTTAGGCCAAGCAGAACACCAGGTAATAATGACTCGTTGGTCTCTTAGATCCTGAAGAGAACCATCCAGAAACGGAGACACCGTGGTCCCTTGACGATCTGGATCTCACTGGACCAGCTATGGGTCCAGGTGTCCGTCTGTAAGGGTCCAAGGGCTGAAGACACCCCTCCGCAAAGGCGGTGATCCTGGGGTCCGCACAGTGGCTCTGTGGGGGTCTGTAATGGAGTGCCCCGCCCTTCCCTGATGATGGTACCGGTCCAGCGTAGACGCTGGCCACGGCTCCAGAGGGCGGGGCTTTCGTGTCCCTCCCTGTGCCATCTGTGTTTGCTGTGCCATCTGCCCCTAATGCCCACCCCCCTATTTATTTATTTATTTGTTTGTTTGTTTATTATCGTGTGCCAGTGATGGTGGGAGTGGGGGCTGGGCCTTCCCACCGCTTCCACCCCTGTTGTAACCCGTCCTCCCGTACTTAATAAAGTGCGAGCGGAATGTCTGTGTGGGCTCCCGTGTGTGTGTGTGTGGGCAGCACTGCGGGAGGAGGACCCCCTGCCCATGGCCGGTCTGCACAGACCTGGCCCAGTGCTTCTTTCCCCTGCGGGAAATGACCCACCGCAGGCCCAGAGCATTTTCTGTGTGTAGTACTTACTGCCCTAACCCCACGGCGCTCTGGGCCTCGCGGGGGCTTTAGATACCAATGTGTATCAGGCCTTCAGAAGACAACGAGCTTGTCTTATTCGGCTCATTTTACCACTTGGGGAAGGAGGATTAGAAATGGCGGTGTTAGGGGGCGCCTGGGAGGCTCAGTCAGTTAAGGGGTCCATGATTTAGGCTCCAGTCTTGATCTCAGGGTCCTGAGTTCAAGCCCTGCTACTTAAAAATGATGAGGATACTCTAGGAATGTGGGGTTAACTTACACAGTGGCACACATCTAGATAGCATGATCTCCCGAGGCAGGATTTGAACTGGAGTCGGCTGGTCCATGAGGGCGCAGCTCCCACTCTGCCTAGACTGACAGGGAATGATTCTGGAAATGTTTCCCTCACTTTTAAAGAAGTCTCTGGATGGAGGAAGGAAGCATTCTTCTGGGCTTTGGGTGTGGAAGCTGTTGCAGCCATTCTGTGATCATGAGGCCAACCCCACATACTTCTCCCCTCACGCCTCTGCTTCAGGTGGCAGAGCAGGAAGATGGGAAGAGCATGGTGGGGACCAAAACTTCTTTTTATTCTTTTACAAGATTTTATTTTTAAGGAATCTCTACACCTGATATGGAGCTCCAACTCACAACCCCAAGGGCAAGGGTCGCATGCTCTACCCACCGAGCCAGCCAGCTGCCCTTCCCCAACTTTTAATTCAGAAAACTTCAAACGGGTAGAAAAAGTGCAAGAACAGCACAACACCCATATGCCCTTCCCGCGGATTCCCAGTTAATATTTCAGGGAGCTGAGGACACCAGTCCGCAAAAGGAAACAACTCCTTCCCACTCTACTTCCTGGTTTCAATAGTTTTCCTGGTTTTGCCATCCCCCCATTGACTCGCCTCTTGGTGACCAGAGGCCTTAGAGGGAATTTCTATTGACTGCATACTTTTTTCCTATGGAGGTGGCTTTGAGGCTAGGGGCTGAAATGCAGATTCGTTGAAATCAGCTTGGTCGAGCACCAGTGTCCCGCCCAGCACGCTCTTGATTTCATTTTAGCCACTACGGATAACCATGACTAGGGGATGATCTATGTGGTTCCTTTTCACATTTCCTTACATGTCCGGTACACCGAGTGGGGAGTCGGAGCCATCTCTAAATTCCATTGGTCACTTTTACCATGAGTAACAGTTCAGCACCGATGCCACGCAGCTCCGCGGCCACCCAGGAATCAGAGGTTTCCCTTCCCTGCCCTGCCTTTCTCTTCCCAAACCACATGTTTCCATGAGCCTGGGCGGTTCTAGCAAATCCCACTCTTCTGACACCAACTAAAACGGAAAACTTTCCTCTACCCGCAGAACCCTTCTGCCACCAAAGGTGTGGGTTTTCTGTATCAAGCAAGTCTGTAGTTTTAGGCAGACCCCAGCTGCGCGTCCTAGAATTCAGTTCAACTCTGGCACTAAGTCAAGTTCATGCAGGCCCCCCAGCTTAAGGGTTCAATCCCACAAGACTCCCTGCCTGTCCCCCCTTCAGATACCACCCCTAAGTCCCCAGGCATCACTAGTGCCTCTGACCAACTAGCTATAAATTGGAGATTCCCAAAGCCCCCTTCTCAGATTCAGTTATTTGCTGTTACAGCTCAGGAAACTCAGGGAAACATTTGCGTTTACTGTAATAAACCAGTAACAAACGATATGGAAGGATACAGATGAAGAGCTGAATGCAGAGACGCATCGGGCAAGTTCCAGAAGGGTGCCAAGTGCAGGAATGTCTGTCCCCCTGGAGTTAGGGTGTGTCACCCTCCCAGCATGGACATGGTTCACCAGCCCAGAAGCTCCAAACCCTATAGCTTAGGGAGTTGTTTTTATGGAGACTTCATCACATAGACATGATCAACCATAGCTCAAACTTCAGCCCCTGCTCAGCATCAGAGCCACTGAATTAACAGCTGTGGAGGGGCGCCTGGGTGGCTCAGTGGGTTAAAGCCTCTGCCTTCAGCTCAGGTCATGATCCCAGGGTCCTGGGATTGAGCTCCGAATCAGGTTCCCCCGCATTGGGCTCTCTTCTCAGCAGGGTGCCTGCTTCTTCCTCTCTCTCTCTGTCTGCTTCTCTGCCTACTTGTGATCTCTGTCTGTCAAATAAACAGTCGTGGAAACCTCCTCCTTCCAGATTTGTTCATTTTAAAGCAATTTCCTTTGCATTCCCTGTGCCCAAGATTCTCCTGATATGCAGGCCTCAGGCACCTTATAGAAAACAGTAAAATGCACCCACTTCCTGGAAAGTTAAATATATGTGGGCTTTTTTGGCTATACAGTTTCAAAGTATTTTTCGATGTTTATTTTTTATTTTATTTATTTATTTTTTAAAGTAGGCTCCACACCGAGCGAGGAGCCCAACACAGGGCTTGAACTCATAATCCTGATATTGAGACCTGAGCTGAGCTCGAGAGCCGCTTGCTTAACCAACTGAGCCACCAGGCGCCCCTATATGTTTGTTTTAAACATTATGTGACTTGGGGGATCTAAAGTAGGCGTGCCCAACCTCTAGGAAGACTTGGACACACTTTGGAAATAAGAAAATTCAACCCTGGAGAACCGGTCTCAAATGTTTCCACTTTTAGGATGAGCAGGGTTTAAGTCTGAGCACCATAAATGCTGATTGGCTTCAGTTTTGCAGTTTTGGCCTTTTGAAACCAATATATTTTTTTTTCTTCAGGTCTCAAATATTTTATAAGCTCTCAAAAAGCTCTCAGCTTCCTGTGAGTCTATAATTATGTGAAAAGAAAAAAATTACACGACTCCTGTCAGAGCCCTAGTGGGCTGATGAATGGCAGGATCCCACCCAGACCCCGTATGAGAGAAGGAGTGGCTCCCCAAAGATGAATGAGGGTCTGTAATCAGAAGAGGGACAGACAGCAGGTGGGAAGGCAAAAGAACGCCACTGTGTTTGGGGAGATGGCTGTCTGGGCACCTAGAACAGCACAGCAAAGGCCGGGAGGTAAAAATGGACACTCAAGGTAAGTGGGGGTTGGAAGAGCCCCTGAGGTTGGGGGCCATCTCCGCCCCCCCTCTGCCCCAGTTCTTTCTACACTTCATGGAGCAAGTGGGAAAAAAAAATTTTTTTTTGAGGTCCAGATATCCCAGGACCACAGTGTTCTTCTTTCCTTGGCTCAGGAGATGGGAAGCAGGTCAGCCCTGGCTCCCTGTGTGACCTTGGCCAAGTGGCCAGCCTCTTAGGGTGGTTTCTGCATCATTAAATGAGGGAGCGGGTCAGGTGCAGAATCTCTGGGGTCCCTTCCCGCTCTGACTTGTAGGACTCTGGAGCTGGCTCTGATCACCCCCACCATCCCTGGCTGGGCCAGCCAGGTTGGCTGAGGGGTGTGGATGGTGTTTCCGTGGGCCTGGCAGCCCTGCCACTGCCCACTGGAGGAGGAGGCACAGCCTTCCCATGGGCAGGGCAGGCAGGAGTGGGCAGGCTGGGAAGGGCCATGCTGGCCTGGATCCCCTGTCCACGGGTACGGAGCTCGAGTCTCACCACAGCGGCCAAAGTCCAGCCTGTAGGATGGAGGAATTCCAGAGAGTTCTCTGCCTCCACTGCAGGGCAACGAGGGAGGAGGAGAGTCCCAGGACGCGGGGCCCTTGGCCTTGGGAGAGCAGAAGAGAGGACAAATGCTGAGCACCCCCCCCCACATCACCTCTGTAATCCAACCATTAGTGAATGGTAATATTCCCACTTTCCGGGCCTGGAAACAGGTTCAAAGAGTTCAAGGACCTTGGCCACCGTCACAGCCAGGCAGCCCCCAAATTAGGACTTGCCTTCCCTTCTGATTCATTTCAGGTTCATTTCAGGGCCCAGAGCAGCTTCTCTGTGTGGTCCATTCCAGTTGACAGGCACGAGGCCTAGGGTGGTGGTGGCAGGGGGAGGCGTAGATGGAAAGAGGTAATGTTTGAAAGCAAGGAGATAAGGTGCCCATTTATCCGCACAGGGCCTGGCAGATTAAGTGGGTGCCACCTCTAAGAGGCCCTGAAGACTGGGTGGGGGTGGGGTGCACAGGGGGCCCCCTGTCACCCAGGAAAACCATGGTCCCTGTTACAGGAGACACAGGAAGCTGGGGAGACTTGCTGCCCCAAAGTAGGCAGGAGGGGACTGTCGGGGATGAGGTAGCAAGGGGTGAGAGGGAGACCTCCCAGCAGTGTGGACCCCAGGAAGGTAACCTCAGCCTAAGAGAAGAGATAAGAGGGAAACCAAAACCTTCTGAGACTGTGGGGAAAAAAAAAATCACTATTTAGTTCAACAGCCATGAATTCCACCCTGGACTAGCTTTGTGCAGGGAACAGGGTTTCACCTCCCCCAGTTTCCAGAGAGGGAGGCCACCTTGGGAACGGCGTGGCAGGGCTAGGACCCGAATCCAACTCTTGGGACTCCCCAAGGGGCCTTTCCGGAGGCCTATTCATGCCACGGCACCCCTCTACCTGCCCGGAGCCAGCCGAAACTGCCCATCGTCCAGCAGCACGCACTTCCTGACACTGGGCCCATCCTCCAGGTTGGGGGAAGCATGGGAGCAGCTCCCGAGGCCCTGAGAGCTCACAACTGGACCTAGACCAGAGCAGCCTGCCAGCCCCACACTACCTCCACTCCTCGCTCCTCGGTCAGAACTCCCCAGATGCCCGCATTCCCTGATTCAGGCAGAGAGTGCCTGTGGTACTTGGAGGGGAAACACAGAGGAAAAGCAGCCAAGCAGCTCGGCTCCATGCACCCCTCCCTGTGCTGAGGTTGAGGGGAGGCCGCAGAGGAAAAAATGAAAGAGCTGGGCTTGGTTTCTGAGGCTTGGTCTTGGAGGAGGGATGAGAGCCTGCCTC